TCACTATAGTGAAAACAAAAGTTTCTGAGATGGAGCAACAATGCATCCAGCAATTTGTTAGAGGGTCTTCTGTTTTCACTTTGGGCATTTCCATTTGGTTTCAGAGTAATGTTGCACTTTTGGAAACTATTAACTTTTCACCATTAGATGTTTTGCTTTACTTCTTTGTAAAAACTTGTTGCACTTTAAAAGCTTGATATGGATTTAGGGTCTATGATTTATCTTTCTAGTTTTATATCAAGTTTTATAATAGATGTTAAGGGGAGTGTAACAGTCGCTTAACATAAAACTATCTTTTTGCTAAAGTACTTGAGTACATTTATTGAGGAAAAGGAGGGATAACTGAGGAGTTTTGGTTTTTCCTGTCCTGCTGGACTGCCTAGGAGCAATACATTATTGGGAAGCAAGCTGATTAAAGTAAATGATGAAAATAAATGTATTTCTGGCTATCTCTTGGTAAGCTGCAGCAGTGACTGGCTGGAAATGAAATTATAAGAACATTATGATGAGGAACCAATCAATGCCTGGGAAGAGGGTTTATTTTCCTATGCTTTGTAACTTTCTGAACTCTGTAGAAATGTAGCTACATCACTCGATTGCTTGGCCAATTAACTGCTGCCTAAAGTATAACCTTGTAGGCTTAGTCCTTAGAACTATCGCTCTTAGGGAGATAAATTCAAGTCATCTTGTCACCACACTCTGTGGTGAAGGCCACCTGATGACAATACTTGCAGGTGTGTTAGCCGTTTTTGTCCTGCATCTATGAACCACTTATCGTAAATTCCCTGTGAATGGTCTTTGGTCACATAGGCCAAAAATTCAAACCCACCAATGTTGTGATGGTTACAAAAGGATGTCAAATTTCCTATTAAAGCCACGTGTAACCTCAGCTCAGGGCACAGAACTTCAGACTGATGTAAATAGCCTGAGTTCTTCAACTCAGTCTCTTGCAGAGCATGATTTCCATAACATTTATACTTTGTTTTTCAGTGAGAGCGAGTAAGGTGTATTTGAATAAGAGGACTGTTAGATAGATGATAACGTTGGCTTTGTGTTTTCTCATAGCTGCTTGGTGAACTGATCCTGGACCGCCACAACTTTGCCATTATGACCAAGTACATCAGCAAACCAGAGAACCTGAAGCTGATGATGAACCTCCTTCGAGATAAAAGTCCCAACATTCAGTTTGAAGCCTTTCATGTCTTTAAGGTACAGTGTCAACTACAGAAATAATGTTGTGGGGATTTTTTCCCCCCAGCTTCAAACAAGAAGCTCCTTCTTTTTACTTTCCTTCCTTTATTCTTGCAAGAAAATTAAATAGGCAGTCTTTTTGTTTTACATGATTTAGATGAGACTTTAGAACTATTTTAATGAATACCTATTTAACTAAAAGGTTTGCTAACTAATCCATACTCTAAATATTTTCTTTTTAAAAAATATTGATCAATTGCATTCTCTCATAGTCTAATGGCATGAAATCATTACTTGGGTGCTTCAATGAGGGAAATTTGCCTCAGATAATTACACATGCATTATAAATTCAGAGAAGTTTCATGGCCACATCAAACTTCAGAAGACCTGCCACCCAGTGCCTGGAGTAAAATTAAACAATCATTTTCAAATTAAAAACCATTGGGGAATAAATGAGCTTCATCCCTCCTGGTGAGAATCTCTCTGGTACTCACCAGAAACCTCGCAGATAGAAAATCCAATGAAGCTAGGCCTTTATGTAGGTCCTTGTCACCACACTCTGGACCTCTGTGCTTTCTCTCTTAAGAGAAAGTCAAATCTTCTTCCCCACTGAAAAAATAGATGATAACATTTCCCAAAAGTGATATGTTCATC